TATTGGTTTTATTATATAGCTAGTATTTTTTCCCGGTATTTAGTACTAACTGAATTTGTTTACGCAAAAAGATAGACGGTCGCAGGATCTAGCAGCACTTCGCGCGCGTGGATGGCGGCGTCAGCACTCTCACCCGTTCACTAATAAAGCACAGTTTTCGACCAATCAGCGAGCGCGTACTATGCTAACTATATAATAACATCCATGAAAAACGTGAAATTAATTGTTTCCATAAAATTAAAACATCTGAATAAGAAATTATCATTTTTAATCCAAATAGAGCGCGCACTCATGAAAAATCATTTTTATGCAGAGCGTTAATATTACCTTTTCTTTCTTGGCTACCTCGTCTATTCCGCACTACCTCCCCCACGTTATTTTGAGAATCAAGGCCAGTGCAGTCCACTCGCCTCATACTTCTCAGGTCTCGGGTTGGACTCCTCGACTCCATGTCACATGTGAGTATAGTTTGTTGGCTGGTCTCTTCTTTTATTCAATATAGTTTTCTGTAGGTTCTCCTTCTTCCTCCCTTCATGAAAACCGTTTCGTTCTGTAAGTTAACTGGCCCTGACTTGGAATAAATCAAGGGAGCATAAATAAGAGAGGGAAACTTCTTAATAACGCGCGCGCCATGTAGATTCTAGGTAGGACTATTTTTAGTAACCGGATACAGTTTAAATTTCGCCTTACCCTACTCCTGTGCGTCATCAATTTGCGCGCGCGCGATCTTTCCGTTTCGTTTTTAGCGATCAAAGCAATAAACGGAAAGAGCGCATGTTTCCTTCTCTTATTTATGCTGTCTTGATTATATCTTTCAAATCCTCCCTTCAATATACTAAGAACATCATTACTAAGGACATCAGCGGTTCTTCAATGAGATCGTACGCGACATTCATTTGTAAATTAACAAAAATGCCACTTAAATGACAGCTAAAGACTAAACTTTGTGGATACAGTGTAAAACGTAAAAGCGTAAAATGAAGATAAATAACAAGAGATAAAATTGTTTAAACTATAGGATTCATTTTCAAGAAACATTTTGACTATATTTAAGAAGGCAGTAAAGTAAAACAACAACATATTAAGATATTATTAAAGTAGTTTTTATTTACATATAAATCAAATTTATAATATATATTATACCATATTTACAAGTTTCAATACGCAATACTGATTGTTTATTTGATGGGTTTAATCAACAGTACATTTTGTCAATACGAATCCAATTGATCAAGACAAGTAAGGCACTACTTGTGGATGATAGTGAAAAACATTAGGTACCCAATCAATTCTATATCTGTTCTGATTCCAACTGTACGGTGTAACTCGTTGAGGTCTTGAGTACCGGCTTGACAGCTGGTCATCGTAGTTCCTGTATGGTACATGTCGCGAGGAGAGACTGGAACACTTGCGGACCGATGGCTTGACAATTTTTGGCGGCAAGCTTGGTTGTTGTGTAGTGTTAAGAAGACTTTTTGCAAGGCTGTTCAGGTAGGCTAGCTTGGCTTGTCTGTGTTGTGCTTTGTCTATCTGGAGTTTGAGCGTCACTCGTTTGTTCTGGAACCACATCTTGACTTGTTGGTCGGTTGCTCGTATTGTAGCGGCGAGGCGTTGACGTTCTTTGGTTCCAAGGTATCGTTGAAATCTGAAGACTTTCTCAAGGTGGTGCTGTTGATCGTGTGAAAGGGCTGCTACTGTATTGGACGTAGAAGACAGTGGAGAGGAACCGTCTTGATGGCAGTGTGTGGACACGTCTGTAAAAAGAAAGAGAGTTTGATGAGCTATGAATATTCAAGTCAATCAATTGTAAAGCCATCTCCCCATCAATGGTAGTTTTCCTTGGTGATGATAAATAACCCACCTCTTGTTGATGTGCAGTAGTTTGGTGATGTTTCTTTTGACCCGCAATCTTCTTTTGTCCAGCTAAGACCTGTTGATGCAGTCTTGCAGTGTCTTTCAGTGTTGAATTGCTGCGATGATGAGCAGTCGTTGGTATCAGTACTGGAGGCGTGCGTATTTCGTAGAAGATCTTCTACCATGAAGGAAGCTTTCTTGTTGAGAGGTTTGGTTTTGGACGAGACATCAACTTTAATGGGTTGATACATTTGTACGGTTTGACTTGACTTTACTCTGTACTGGCACAGTGTGATGTTGACAGGACAGCAGAGGAACTGAATGAGTTGGGTTCAGATTCCGCAGCCATTTATACCAACAACCTACAGATCAAAGAGAAAGCCGCCACCGCGCATGTCGGAATGACAGAAGGTTGGTGGTCTGTTGCGCTGAGGGCGCAGGTGTTTGAAGAGCGGTGATTTGAGCTGATTATTTGATATAACAGAAAGCGATTAATACCGCGCTCACTGGCAGGATGATTGATTTTGAAGAGCATTTAGTGCGGACAGCAAAGTTAAAGAATATTAGTCGGTAATTGGTTCAAAGTTCGCCTCTGTATTGGGCACTGTGTCCTTTGAAGACCCCGCCGGACAAAGGCTGCGTGGTGTATCTTTGTTAATGCGCGTACAATGGCGTCAAAGACTTCCGGCTTGAGATAGCTAGTCAACGGAATGATTCTTTGATGCGCATGCTACTGACCAAACAAAGCGACAAACGTGAAACATACGATAACTACTGTTTTAATTTGCATTCGCAAATGAAGACTTTTGGTGTCCGACTTTGGTTCAATGCAGAAGGTTGATTGGTTAATAATATTCTTTCTTTTACCTGAAGTAGGCACTGTTCTCTAAAAGTGCAAGAAACTCGATCTGCTTGTCCGTCTCAAGCCGATCGCAGGCGAGGTAACAAGACTTATTTATCACCTATTAACCACTCAGCTCTGCCTAGACAGTGGAAGAACTAGCAGCAATATTACACCAGGCGAAGCAAAACCTACAAAACCAACTATTGTCCTTTCTCTATATTAACCACGTTAACGATTGAATAGCATTATCTTTAACCAATGCGATTACAGGATTTGGCATTGATTACAAAATGGATATAATTAAATACATCATATGATAATGACAGAGAATAACTATTATAACGAATAAAGTAGTCTCCCCCGTAGCCTCCTTCGCAGCCGTTCTTAGTGTCGTCACGTCACGCAATTAAATAATAATAATAATAATAATAATAATTTATTGATATCAAATGGCAAACAGATAAAAGTTTGAAAATCTTGATATTTACGATATTTAAAATTATAATAAAGGTATAAAAATTCTACAATTCTTCAATAAGTACAATATATACAATACAAAGATAATTGACTTTATCAAGTCAAATTTACGTGGATTAAACACGCTTTAATGAGCGACATTTTGAAGTCATTCCTCAAGTCCTATAAATTGATTTAGATTGTGTTACGGTATCCAAAAAGGTCGGACATTGTTCTTGAATTTCAGTACAAATATACTGACTCTAAATGAACTACTTACTTGGTAATGTTTAGTTAGTTCTCTAAATACAAGTAAATGATCATTTTTCTAGCTTGATAAAAGCTTTTCCGAGAACAATGTCCGAACTTTTTGGTGACCGTAACACAATCCAAACTAGCTCCGAAAAGGTGAATTAAGATAATCTTTTAACCAATCACGGAACATTATACCACATCCTGTTTTCTAGGAACTCATCAAATCTCGTGACCACATTGTGTGCTGCAAGAGTCCGAGTTCTACCCAAGCTGATAGAATCAGTATATCGAATTTGTTCCAACTTTTAGTCCCATCATGTTTGGAAAGATAAGCGAATGTTTTCTTCTTGTGGTGTTGTTACTAGACCCATCGAGTGCATTCCTAGCGGAGAAATGCGACATTCATCTTGACGAGGTTGACAAACTCTTGAAACTAAATAACGTTTCTCCACGACTTGTTCTAGAGGCAGCAAGAGTTCTTCTTGATATTTTTAAAGAAAATCCTAACCTGGAAAAGGAATATCCTTGGATAAAGGGATTTGTCCAGCAACTGGTTCAACAAGGTTCGAAGATTGTAACTGCGGCAAACCTCGCGTTCTTTGGTGCTACTGTTTACCTGGGGACCGTCGTTCTAACTTCGTATTGCTTCCTTGTTCACTCGCAAGAGCAGTTAGCCGAAGCACACTTAATCAACAAGAATCTGGACCTGATCATCGAGGGAGAAGTGAAACCCATTCTGCTTCACATTGAAATGTTATTGCGGAATGGTCAGGAGAATTTTTGGAGAAATTTTTGTAACATACAGCTGAAGAAAGCGAAGGAAATGTTGAAAGACAGAAAATATAGCATCCAAAATATTCTTCACAACATCAAAAACATTAGAAAGAAAAGCATAGAAGGCAAAGAACAAAGCAGTGTTCTACAAATAGCATCAGTTGCAGGCGCTATTATTGGTGTTGGTGTCGTTATAGCAGCTCCAATAGCAGCTCCCGCTAGTGTACTCGTCGCTGGAACATTTGGAACTGCTGGCTTTCTGGGATACAACCGGTTTGACACAAGTAAACGGAAGTATGAAGAAACTCTCAAATGTCTGAAGAAGACAGAAAATAAAGCGTTTGAAGCCCAGAAAGCAATCACATTGTTACAAACAATAGACGAACTCGCTTGCAGTATTGAATTCAGAAAACTCGAAAGTGAATTTCAATGGAATTTAATGTTGGAGGCAGAAGAGCAGAAGAAAACAGGAGCTGAGATGACTAATGAAATGTTGAAGCCAACGAATGAAAAAGAGCTCATGACTGAGGAACTGTAGGTATCCATTCCCTAACTGGATCCATATCAACTCAATTCTTTGATAAACCCAATTAGGTTATAAACTTGAAGTGAAATACTGTTCAACTTGTGTGAAAATTGAGAATTTGTTTTCCATTGCATAAAAGACATTCTTCGAGATTTTCGAGATCACCTTACGCGCGCGACGAATTTTGGCTGCCTTTTCATTATTATTAGATAAATAGAGATTACCACATGTTAAGAATTTCCAGTTTACCGTTAAGTGATCTTGTTACTATTCACGGCTTTATTAATTTAATATCGAACCTAAATGTGTAAGTAAAATCACACATTTTCTGAGAGTTAAATATACGTGATTTTCGAAAATTAGTTTAGCTGATTGTCCGGCTGTTTTGGAGCACAAGGAAAATCATTGAATTTTTATGAAGTTTTTAAGCAACAAAAATAGCTTTTTTTAAACGTCCTAACATATGAATACGGGGGGGATATGAGTTTTCTAGCAAGTAGTTTATTTAAGTTTATTAACTTCAAATAAAAGACTGTAGTTTCTGCATGGATTATGAAATAAGACAAAATTATAACGGGATTGTTGTAACGTACTCACTACTTTATTTAACTTTATTATTCAATTTGTGGCGGAGTTTTCATAAAAGGGTAAATATGAACTGGAATATGATCGTTTTTGTTTGATCTGGAAAAATGATGTGGAACTTTACGTTACGGCCATAGAGCAGTTTTCGTACGACTGTAAAACTGGAGCCCGCGGCACGAATACGAGCGTGACAAGGCAAGAGATAATTTAGTATCCATCCAATCAAATACAATAGACACAGTTGCGCGTAACGCCAAGGTCACGGTAACGCCAAGGTCACGGCACTGTCAAACGAGGGAAACATCACAGTCACGGCACGCCACACTTATGGCGCGCCGTTTGTTTCAAAATTATTTTGTTCTCCAATATAACAAATGGTATCATGATACACTTTTACTATTGTTGTAGACAGTTTTCATCGACACAAAGGTTTATCTTTGTCCCTTTCTTGTGACGTCTTTCCCTTCTTTGACAGCTGTCAATTCCTTTGATATACACTTTTACCCTTGATATACAATTTTACCCTTGATATACAATTTTACCCTTGATATACAATTTTACCTTTGATATACAAT